TATTATAATGTTACTGTAGATAAATTCAATTGATAGGTTTATAAATGTCATTGGAGATGTGGAGTGGTTGACTTTGTCCACATTGGTTGGGAAAGCAAATGCTATTCACTTAGAAAAAAAAATGTGTCGATTGTACCATCCATTTCATGATGGGCTTTAACATATTTGAGTTATATATTTTATTATTTTTTATATATTTTTTTAAATTTTAATTAAATAAAAATAATTATTATATATATAAATTTATTTAAATATATTAAAAATTTTATAAAAATAATAAATAAATAATAAAAAATTTTAATTGATAAAATTAATAAAATAAATCGATAAAATTTGATTTTGATCTGATTAATTTAAAATAATTAATTTATATTCAAATCAAAATTAAATTTTAAAAATTTATAATATTATATAGTATTTAAAAAATCAAATAAAATTCAATCTTATGAATAATTATTAATTTTAGTTATAACATAGTTGAACTCAATATATTAATTTTTTTTGTTATAAAATTATAAGTATAAATTACAATATAATCAATTATTATATTATTAAATAATCAAATTAATCAATAAATTAAAATATAACAAAATAAATTCAATATAAATTTGAACCCAAAAAATGCAATTTTGTTATTGGCTAATTCCATTTTTAAGTAATGAAATTCCATTATTGATTGAGAAAAAAAAAAAGAAATATGCGAATTTCCGTTATCTCGAGCTATTTTTCGGTTCCCTTGTTTAAAAAGAATAATTGTCGAATTAGATTAAAGGTCTCTATTGTGTGTGTAACAAGTAAGCTCTTTCTTGGAAACAATGGAAGATTTGTGGGGAAATTGATAGACTTAGAAATGTCGTTGGAGACGTGGAGTGTTTCATTTTGTCAACATTTATTGGGGAAGCAAATGCCATTTCACTTGATAAAAAAACAAAAAAAAGTTGTGGATTGTGCTAATCTCCTTAATGATGGGCTGAACACATGCCGTCCGGTCAACTGTGATATGTTCCTAAAGCCTATTTCTCTTGCACTCTGTTATAGTTAGAGGTGAGAAAATAATTTTTAATAAAATTAAAATTATTTGAAATTGTAATGTATAATTTGGTTTAGATTAAATTTTTATTTTATTTGGATTAAATTTAAAAATTAAATTTATATATTAGATTTGAATGAAAAATTGAATTGAGAAGTTAAAAAACAAAAAAAAAAAAAAATCAAATCCAACTAAAATATATTTTTATTAATTTTTATATATTTTTTAAAATTTAATTAAATAAAATAATTATTTTATATGTAAATTTATTTAAATATATTAAAATTTATATTGAAATAATATATAAAAAAAAACTCAAAATCTTATAAATCAAATCAATAAAATTCAATTCGAATATGACTCATTTAAAAAAAAATTGATTTGAATTTGGATCAAATTTAAAAATTTATATTGCTGTGTATTATTTAAACAAATCAAACTAATTCAATTTAATCAAAACCGTTATTACACCTAATTATAACAGGGGTAAACTCATTGTATTGATGTCTTTTCTTTTTTTTTTTTTTTGAAATTACAAGCATAAGTTACTGTATAATCAATTATTACATTATTAAATAATTGAACAAATTAACTAATCAATAAATTAGAATATAAGAAAAAAATTTCAATATAAAATTGAACCAAAAATATAAATTTTGATATTGGGTAATTCCTTTTTTTAAGTAATGAAATTCCATTATTGACAGAGAAAAAAAAAAGAAATATGCAAATATGTTATTACTTCTTCATACAGCAATCGGGATTTGTTTTCTGAATTAATTTCGAGTGGAAAAGGCAACTATAAGTTAAGTGTAGTTCTTCTAGAGTTCACTATCATTTTAGGAATTAAATTAGCTTTGCATTTAATAGTTTAGTGAAGATTGTTTTTTTAAAATAATCAATCTAATAAGCATTGCACTTTAGCCATTGAATATCAAGCTAAAGATCCCATATTATCTTTCTTTTTTCTAGTAATGAGTTTCACTTCTTACCACTTTGAAACAAGGGAATATTGTTATAGATATCAATAGATTGGGTTTGAGACGTTCATTTTTAATTTTTTATATTATATTTATTTTTATGTTCATACTTAATGAGTATTTTAAATTAAGTTTTATCTCTATTCTCATGAATTTTTAATGAATATGAATAATTTTTGTATCTGTTGTTTTTTAAAAAATAAATTTTATTTTTTTTTATTTTTATCTTGCATATTTAAATAATTTGTTTATAAGTATGCATTTTTTAAATACAAACATATTAGTTATAATAAATCTAAAATAAAATTTATATTTTTAAATAAAAAAATAATTTATTAAATATATATAGCATATATATATATGATACATGTACAGAATAAGTGTTATATTATCTATTCTCTTACTCTTACTTGATAAAAACTTTTAAAACCATACACATCTCGATTCTCATCATCATCTCAAAATATAATATTTATCTCCAGTCCCATTAGGCTAAAAGATTGGGTTTCTTGTCAAATTTGGATAATATTAAAGTGTTCGTGGGTTAGGTCGAGTTTGAATTAGAACCATGCTTGATATTAATAGTTTATGTGCCTACTCAAACTTTGCTCAATTTGATATTTTGAACCACAAAATTTTTCTAAGTCTAGTCCAATTTGAAAAAATAAATCTCAAACTTACCCGTTAAGCTTAATTTGTAAAATAAAATATTAAAATAAAAATTCATATATATACTTATATAATTATAATATTTTAATTACATATTTTATTCAGACCGGATCTAATCCGAAATTTAAACAAACTTAAAAATTATGTCCAAATCTATTTAACGAGCCTTAATATTTTATTCAACTCCTCTTATTGTGATTTATGAGATTCTTATTGCGTGGAAATTCAAGAATATTGTAATTAATAATAAATATACGTTTGATATTAATAATATTTTATATTTTTTACAAATAATTACATGAGTTCTTCAATTCATTTGCATTCTAGCTTTAAATAAATGCAAAAATAATATAAAATATCATAAATAATAAAAGGAGAGGGATTAACTCATATCAATGTAAAATTTTTTAGTTTTATATTTTTTTAACCAATAATTTTAATATATCCAAAAGATATGATTAAATCATTTTTTTACTTATTTCTTTCATCCCTTGAATTTATTAAAATTAATGATTAAAAAATATAAAAAATGTAAAACTTTTTTTTATATAACTTAATCCCTCCCCATAATAAAATTTTAAATTATGCATTTTTTTATAACAATAATAATGGTTATCAAAATTAATAAAGTCATTAAATATAACAGATTTTGCAACGACAAGAATTATGTTGGGTAAAAAAATTTGCAACAATTGTAATGGTCGCAAAACATTATTAGGCAATGCAAAATAATGCTTTCAAGTAAAAATTTAACAACCAAAATATTTGATTGACGGATTGATAAAATAAAGCCTAGGTAATTACATAAAGTCGTGTAAATATAACTTACATAGCAATGGTAAGAAGTCCTAGCAATAAACATTTTAAAAATAATTTTTGATATGATCAAAGTTGTTGCGGTAGATCTTTAATAATGGAGGTTGGGGTAACAACCTCATTATGACATAAAATCCTTTAAAAATTGTTTTAGCAATGATAAAATTAGGTTTTGCAATGAATTTTACCGTTGCTAAATATATATATATATATATATTTGTTAATTTACAAAAGGGGTTCAATCCTTACGTTTTAAGTAAAAGAATTTTGTATCAATGGACTAAATCAAATACTTGAGTGTAAATTAAAAGCTACTTACTTTTATAGGAAAAATCTATCTTATAAAAAAAAATCTATCTTACACTTTTTATGGAAAAATTATTGAAAAGTTTCATTTGATTAAAGCAGATTTACACACTTTCCTTTCATTTAAAATTTAAAAGTTGAAAAATATAAACTTCGTATATCAAGTAATTATGCAGAAATTGTACCTTTAAAATTAATTATGCTAAAGTTTTCACCATTTAATAAAATCGAACAAAAAAATTGAAGATGAATTAAAAAAAGAAACATATAACAACTAGTAAAAAGTAAAAGCATTCATCGGGAGAATTCACATTAGGATCAAACTGCAAATATCAATAAGAAATCATACTAAATAAAGCATGACGGGATATGGAAATTAATTACTTTAAGAATTAGAACAGAAACATTCATGAATTAGATGAATTGATACGTCTAAAATTTTATTCAAAACGTAATTTGATTCACAAATTCGAGCTTGATTAGAACTGTTTATTATTTAAAATAATATTAAAAATTATTTTTAAAATAATATTTTTATATTTTTAAAATAATATAAAATTTTTTTTTTTTCAATTTAAAAATCCAAATGGATGGGTTACATGAATCCATAAAAAGGAAGGATTTTTTTCCGCTCACAGTTGGTCCATCGTGTTGGTATTTTCTTGTCATATTGCCATTTATATTCCGCGTTAAACAACAGTAGTTATTGGCGTTAAAGTCACGTTTGCCCATCTCATTACACTCCGTCCACGTAGTGCGCTTTAAATGATTGAATAGGGCAGCCAATTTGACGAGTCTCCTGAGGATGAAGATAAGATGCCCGAAGTCTGCGCTATTCAGCTATTGGAAGACTTTTAGTCAATTTCTCTTCATCAATGTCATTTTCTCTTTTAATTTAATTTCAAACCATTTGACACGGTACTCACCAAAAGTAAACGGAATTGAATGAATTAAAATTTTTTTCTCATAAGTACTTTTTTTTATGAGATTATAAGTATAAAATACAATATAATTAAGCATTATTCAATAACAAAATTTAAAAAATATTATATAAATTAAACAAAATCTACACATAATAAAACTTAAACTTAAAATTTGATATTCAAGAATTTTCGATTTATTATTGAGACAAGTTCTTGTTAGTGGCTTAGCTGTGCTTTCAACGGCATAAGTAAACGCGGAAAGACAATGCTATCTTTTAAAAATCATATTCAGAAAATAGATGCAATATTTGTCCTTTACCATGTGTTAATGGTGTTTTTCTTTTTCTTAATTGATACAATCATGATTAATTTCAGTAAAATCTATGAAAAAAACACAATACAATAGATTGCTGAAGTAGACGAAAACCGAAGGAAATGACAGAAAGCAAGATATAGTTAGTCATTTGAATGCACTAACTAAGAACTGCAAATCACTTCAATCTCATAATTTTTCAAGCCAGGAGTCGCACCTACTAACTTCGATTCTGTTACCACTGAAGAAGATTCTGAATCAACAGGAATGCTAGGAATACGAGTCTCCACCAGCAAATGCTCAAATGGATTTGAAGGTGCAGGAATTTCCATTGTTCCTTCCAACATTTTAACCACCGTGCTCATCGAAGGCCTCTGCTCAGGTCTATACTGGACACAACATAAAGCGGTTTTGACCATTCTCTCGGTTGTCTCTCTATTTTCGTCATCAATCTCGCACACTTTCATTAACTCTCCTAAATCTCCATTCTCGATATTTTTCCACACCCATCTTGGAAACCATTCTTGGCTCTCTCGAAGTTGAATGTCAAGGTTTCTTCTCCTACCGATGATTTCAAATAGTAGCATTCCAAAGCTATAAACATCACACTTATGGGTTATAGGATAAGGCATCCAAAGTTCTGGCGCTCCATAACCTGGAGTTCCTCTACCTCTTGTCATGGTTACATGGGTGTTTTCCCTGTTGCAGAGCTTAGCCAAACCAAAATCAGCTACTTTGGGAAATAAATTTGCATCTAGGAGAATATTTCCAGGCTTTATGTCATAGTGAATGATTCTCTGGTGGCATTCCTCATGCAAGTATGCAATCCCTTTTGCCGTGCCTATTGCAATCTCGTGAAGTTTGTCAAATCCTATCATCTTTTCTTCACTAAATAAAAACCTGTCAAGTGAGCCATTTGTCATGTACTCGTAAACTAGAGCCCTCATGTTCCTCTCAAAGCAGAAACCATAGAGTCGAACGAGATTAAAGTGATGAACTCTACCAAGTGTACTCACTTCCGCCATGAATTGCTTCTCAATTTCTTTATCCGAGCTTCCATATAAAACCTTGACAGCTACGACGGTTTCATTATTGAAAACTCCCTTGTACACTGCTCCAAAACCCCCTGAACCCAGCAAGTTTGTAAAATTATCAGTTGCAATCCTTAGCTGCTGAGAAGTAAATCTGATTGGTTTCTCCTTTTCCATTTCATTGAGGAATTTATCCATGGCTAGTGTCAGAAATCGGGAGAGGTAAGCATTGTTCGCAATATCTTCAGCTCTTCTCATTATACCGATGACGATCATTATGACCAGAATCACGATGACGACGATTACTGCAGAGCGTAGGGAATCATCACAAGTCCATAATTTATCAGTTTCTTTGACATGGATGAAAAAGACGAAACTAGAACCTGCATATTGAAACAGTAGAGAAAATGAAAACCTTACCAGTAGCTACAATTCCTGAACTTGATGACATTGACGATGAGAGGAGAAGGCAAAAACAAGCAGATGCAATGAACAATATCTAAGATATAATAGCAGTCAAAAGTAGAAAAATTTACCAACAATTTAAGGAGCAAATGAATTAAAACATGAAATTTCCACGAAGCAGACATCGGTCAAAAACTTATACAAACTTTTTCTCTTTGTCAATCTTGTTGAGAACGTGGGTCCAGCCCCATGATTTTCAACAATTAAAGGCCCAAAGCCCTTTGTCTTTACCAAAGAATAAAAGAGGTGGGGGCTAGTTTTTGGCGCGAACGAGAAAAATGGTGTGGCCTCGAAACCTAACGAAAAAGGAGCTAAAAAAGAAAGAAAAGAGGGTTGTTAATTGAATATGGTTTAATTAAATTAAAATTTTATCAGTATGTTTATAATATAATACTTTATATTTTAAATAGTAGAGATCATATTTTTTTAATTATCTCTTTAATTGTTAATTAATTTTAGTTTTAATTTGAGAAAAATTTTGTATATTCATTATTTGATAGTAAAGATTTTTTTATGGTTAATTTTTTTTTTACATTAGAGGATTTTTACATAAATTTTAGTATGCTTTTTTTTTATGTTATTGATTATTAATTGTTGTCTATTGCTTTGTGTTTATTACGATATATTACTTTTGCTTTGTTGTGTTTGTCGTTTCAGACCCAACAAGTGGTATTAACACACTTATTATTTTTTGAAATATCGATATAGCAACAACCCAAGATAGAAGTAAATTTTATTTGAGATCATTGAAGGTGATACAAATTTCATGATAAAATTGACAATATCAAATTATTCAATTTGAAAGCTCATAATGGAGGATCATTTATATTGTAAAGACTTTTATGAGCTGGTATTGGATTATTCGACTAGACAGCATATATGAAAGATGAAAGCTAGAATAAGCTAGGTAGAAATATGCTAGCCACAATTAGAAAATATGTTGATAGTAGCATGTTCCATCATATAGCGTAGGAGATAGATGCTTACACTATTTGAGAAAAAATTAGTATATTGTATGAGAAGAAGATATGCATGAATAAAGTTATGTTTGTTAAAAAGCTTGCAACTTTACAATACATGGATGGACGATTGATTACAAAGTATTTAAGTGATTTTCAAGATATATTCAATTGGATAACGACTATGGAGCTTCAAATGGATGATGAAATGAAGGTGTTGTTTCTTTTAGATTAATTGTCAGGCAACTATAATACTCTAGTTGTGACTATTTTTAATTTAGCTCCTGACTATAAAGTGACATTAGAAATGGTAAAAGATAATATGTTTAATGAAAAAGCAAGGTAAAAAGATTTAGACTTTGAAAATCAAGCTCTTGTCACAGAGAACATGGGTAAAAATATCAATAAAGGTCAAAACTCTAAAAGCCATAATAAGTCTAAACATAGATTCAAGTTCAGAGATAAAGTGAAGTACTATCATTGTGGTAAACCAAGTTATATAAAGTGAAATTGTAAAATCTTGAAACAAGAACTAAAAGATGAGAAAAACAAGAGTTTAAATGATAGCAATATTGTAGCAATGAATTCAAATAGTGATTTAGTTACTTTGATTTTTACACATGATGATTATAATCATATTGGTGATCCCAGCATTGAGCAGATAGTTGACATAGGAGCAACATATCATTGTGTTCCTAAGAGAGAGTTGTTTATAACTTACAAAATAATAGACTCAGTTGCACCAAGATGAGAAACAAGAGTGTGTCACAGATTATAGGGTCAATAATATTATTACACAAACTAGTACGGGTTGCATACTGACTTTGAGGGATGTAAGCCACATTTCGGATATGAAAATGAATTTTATATGCGATTAATGTCCGTGATAAGGAATGATATGAGAGTCGACAAAAGAATAGATAGTGAATGCTTCTTAAAAGATCTATGATAGTTGCAAACCAAAAACTATATTGTACAATGTACAAAACATGGATACAATGGAATAATAATTAGATAAATGTTATTGAAGATGATGCTTCAGTAAATATGTGGCACAAAAGGCTGGCACGCATGAATAAGAAAGGGTTATAGATTTTTGTAAGGCAATCTCTTATTTCTTTAACCAAAGTTATATCTCTTGATTCATGTAATCATTGTTTGCATGGCAAGTATTGTAGAGTTTCTATTCATAAGCGTTATTAGAGAAAAGAAAAAAAATTAGAATTGATTCATTCTGATGTATGTGGTCCCATTAAGGTTGAGTTATTGGGTGGTAACAGATATTTTGTTATTTTTATTAATGATGCTTTAAATAAGACTTTGGTGTATATGTTGAAAAAAAAAGCATGGTACTATAATATTTTAAAAAATTTCATGCCATGACGGAAAGAATGATAAGGTTACCTTTGAAATATATTCGAACTAATAATGGTAGAGAATACACATCTAAAGACTTTGAAGAACATGGTTCAAGGCATAGGATCAGACATGAGTTGACAAAACCTAAAACATTGTAGTATAATGATGTAGTTAAAAGGATGAAATGCACCATTGTAGATAAAGTCAGATGTATGCTAAGGATAACAAAATTACCAAAGCCATATGAGTGAAGCAATTAACATAGCCTGCTATTTATTTAACAAATCACCATTAGTTCTTTTAGACTTTAACATTCTAGAAATAGTGTGGACAAGAAAAAATGCTTCATACTCTCATTTAAAGATTTTTGGGTGTAAAACATTCATGCATGTATCGAAAAAGCAAATATCAAAGCTTTGTAGTCAATCCACATAGTGTGTGTTTGTCAGATATAGTGATGAGCAATTTAGGTACAAGTTATGGGATCTAGTGAAGAGATAGATAATCAGAAGTAGAGACGTAGTCTTCCATGAAAAAAAAAAGCATAGTAAAGCTTGAGAAGAATAAAAAGACTACATGAGTTACTGTTAAGTGTGAAATTTCAACACTAACAAAGGTTTTACCAGAAAAAGTCACATATTATGGAAATAAGCAAAAGACAAAACTTAGGGATATGAATAAGCCAACCATAGTTAGTGATGAGCCAAATACAACTAGTTTTGAGCAAGGGAGCAATTCTTTCCACCAAAGAGTATTGAACAGGATGAGCAATCTTTTCCATTACAGAGTGTTGACTATGGAGAGCTACCTCCAGCATCAAGTGGTGTAGAGTCTTAGCCTAAGAAATCTACTAAAAAACATCAGCCGTTCATTAAGTATTCAAGTTTAAACTTTATTTTAATTACCAATAAGGAAAAGCTAAAGAGCTTTTAAGATGTGCAGACTACTCTGGATATTGGGCATTGGTTAAAAGCAATGAAAGAAAAAATGGAGACATTGTAAAAAAATAGTACATATAATCTTGTTAAAGTTTCATAATGGAGGAGGCCAATAAAGAATAAATGGGTATTCAAGCTAAAAAAAGATAATGACAAGCTAGTAAGGTATAAAGCTCGATTGGTGGTGAAAGGTTTTTCTTAAAAACTCGACATTGATTTTGATGAAATCTTCTTTCCAATTGTGAAGATGAGTTCCATTTGAGTGATACTGAGATTAGCAACTAGTTTGAATTTTAAGCTTGAGCAACTTGATGTCAAAACTACATTCTTGCATGGTGACTTGTAGAAGGACATTTACATAGATCAGCTTGAGAGTTTTTAAGTAAAAAAAAAAGAGCACTTAGTTTGTAAATTAAAAAAAAAAACTTGTATGACTTGAAACAAGCTTCGCAACAGTGGTATAAAAGTTTTATTTTTTATGGTGAGTTGCAGCTATAAAAGAATGACAGTGAATCCTTATGTGTATGTTAGAAAATTTTTGATGGTAACTTTAATATTCTCTTATTATATGTTAATTATATGTTAACTGTGTGATAAGATACTAGTATGGGTTCACAAGTTGAAAGAATAATTGTCTAATTCCTTTAACATGAATGATTTAGGTCCAGTAAAATAAATTTTTAATATAGATATTGTTCGGGATAAAAAAGTTGAAAAGTTATGGTTGTCACAGGAAAAATATGTTGAAATGGTGCTTAATAGCTTCAACATGTAACATGCTTTAGCAATCCACTCGTCAACCATTTTCATTTGAGTAAGAAATCTTATCCAATAACTAAAAAAAAGTAACTAGCTATGTCTAGTATTCCTTATTCTTCTACAATCAATTCTTTGACATATTTATAGTTTGCATACAGCCTGACATTGCTCATGTAGTTGATGTAGTGAGTAGATTTCTTTTTAATCCGAGAAATATTTATTGGAAAGCAATGAAATAGATTTTTAGATATTTAAGGACACCTTAAAAATGTGCTTAAGTTATGAAACTACATAACTAGTTCTAAAATAATTTACTAATACTGACATAGCATGTGATCTTGATGATGAGAAGTCTATTTCAAGGTATTTATTCACTTTTGTTGGATGACTATGTCTTGATAGTCTAAACTATAAAAATGTGTTACCTTGTCAAGTACAGAGGTTGAATATATTACAACAATCGAAGTAGGTAAAGAAATACTTTAGATGAAACGTTTTCTTCTTGAATTGAAGCTGAATAAAAAAGAGTATGTGGTGTTTTATGATAGCAAAAGTACTTTAGATTTGAGTAAAAATATCATATACCATATTAGAACAAAGCATATTGATGTTAGATATCATTAGCTACATTAAGTGATTGAGGAGTAAAAAATGAAAATGAAGAAAGTTCATACTTATGAGAGCATCGTAGATATGTTGACCTAGACACTTTATAAAGAAAAGCTTAAGCTCTGTAGTAACTTGGTTGAAGTGGATTCTTTGGCAAAGGTAAGTTTTAAATAAGACTGTTATGGTGATGAATCTACTCTTAATGGGGCTAAAAGGAGAGATTGTTGATAATGTAGGGTCCAGCCCTTGTTTTTTCACCAATTAAAAGACCTAAAGGCTTTTGTTTTTAACCAAGGAATAGAAGCCTTACATAATAAAAGGTGGAGGCTAGTTTTTTTGCTTAAATGAGAAAAAGAGTTTGGTGCCGAAACCAAAAGAAAAAGGAACCAAAAAAAAAAAGAGAAAAAAG